TATATATATATATATATATAACTTGATACATGAAATGGAACAATCTAAATTTTAACATGTAATGAAACATATACATTTGGAACTAACGTTACACGTCTGCACCAGTATGCAAACATGAACTGATTAAATTATTGTTAACTGTTAATGATAGGCCTATATTGATTTTAAATAAAAGCTTAGCTTGGGATGGGGGGGGGGGAGTGAGGGAGATTGTGGTTACAACCCTTTTCTCTGTATAGGCATACCGACGTATAATACAATGTATTTGAATTGCTAAAGACAGTATTCTTATTATTACTGTTAATATTATTATTGATTCGCTAGATTATGCTCGCATTTGGATTATACTGGCTCTTTGGCATCATCGCAACAGTTATCGTTGAATTACGACAAGGAGAAACAACAACTGCCAGTTTGGTGTTGAACATGTTATTCGTGTTTACGGGCTCCATGCAAGGTGTGTTTGTGTGCGTCGCAGTTGTTTTTAACAAAAGGGTCGTAAATATGTGGAGGCAGAAACTAAAAATACCAAAACCGAAAATGCACGCACGTTTGAAAATGGAGGAGTAATTTTAATGCGAATGAAGTTTGCCCCTGACGTGTTATCGTACTGAATGCTCATCAACGAGTTCCAAAATGCTTGCGAAAAAACTTTTTTTTAAAATGTTCAATGGTCATATATTTATATACTGTAGTGCCTTCCACAGAAAACCGTCTCAAGGCGCTTCGCGAAGGGAGCGCTTACCCTCGATTTTGAGATTGTCGCCATCACTACCGTGTACACGTAAGTACCTCGGCGTCAGTTTGCTGGGCTCCGGTAGCTTCCACCAAGGATAAGCCTATGGCTCCCCTACCGTGCACTGCTAAGTTGGCGGCGCTACCTCAGGTAAGGAGGTGCGACTTTTCAGGGGAAAAGACTTAACTACAGAACAACTTAACTACAGAAATTTAACTACAGAGATTAACAAATAAATGAGAATTATTAACCATGAGAAAGTTAACAAAGAATGCAGAGATAAGCCTTCAAATTCTTTTTAAATACAAGGAGTGATGTTGCCTCACGAAGATCAACCGATCTGTTGTTTATGATGTTGTTTATGACCATTGCTAAAGAAGAGTATGGTGCTGCATCAACGTTATTTTATTTTATAAATATGCACAGTATTTGTTTCTACCAATTGTTTTGTACACAAAACGAATGTTCTTATAAAGTAATTATAACATAAAATTGTTAGCTGGGCTTTTACAAACACTGTTCTGAATGTCTCTATTGTATAGTTTACTCATGCATTTATAAAAGTTAATATTTCTGCCATTTAGGCCTGATCATATTTTGTTGCATGTTGTATACACCGTTCGGTGCCCGAATAAAATATACAAATAAAATACTGTACATTTGCATGAGAAGTACAAAATATATATTAAATGATTCTGTATAGACAAATAATAATCATCTGATTTTTAAAATAATTAATTACTAGACCACATGACACGACATGGTTTTATTGTAGAATTGGGCATGCAGTAATGTCAGGAAAACATTAACTCACAGTTTTTATCAAAGAAATTGAATTCTTGAGAGTATATAATATCCTGATTATTAGTATAGGCCCTAGTACGCCTAAAATAAGTGGCTTTGATAATATTGATAGTAATTGTTATTGTCGTGATGGAATAATAGACAATAACTGGTAATTTGATAATATTTAAATTAAAGACTTGCTGATAGCTATCATGGTTTAATATTACAATTTAGTGTTTAACGCCTTATGTAATATTTGTTTTTTAATGGATATATGATATAATATATAATATATACTGTTAGTCAGAGGAAACTAATTGTTATTGTTGATATTGTTATTGTTATTCCCGAAATATATTGTGATTGCCTTTTTGTCTTATCTTAACTTGGCCGTCTGTTTGTGGTTCGGCAAGTATTGATTGTATTTTGAACTATCATTTAAGTGTCTTTTTACACCTTTTGCATTTTAAGCAGACTGTGAGTTTATTTATGATTGTGTTGAGGAGAAATCTGGAAAGCAGTGCTTGTACTACCTTATGTTACCCTCCTTAAAGGTGTTAATAAATATATCAAATCACCATACTACGCAATCTATACTACTAAAATAACGTTTTGTGTTTTTTTTTTCTGTCGAGACGAACGTCCGCTACATTAGGACTCGATTTTATTATCCTGCATGTGTTTTTTTTTTTTGGCAAAATTAACACATTTTCTTGCTTATTACTTCCTGAATCAGGGGCGGATCCAGAATTTGTCAAACGGAGTGTTGGGGGGGGGGGACAACAGTTTCAGAATAGATAAGCGAGTAGCATGTAGCATTGGAATTTTTAAAATTTACTGGCGAAACTGGGGGAATGTGCCCCCCGTGGCCCCTGCTGGCCCTCGCCCCTGCAAATCTCATAACTGTCGAGACGTCATTATGCCACGCACCAGATCTAATATACATGTTACAAGTCCCACATGCACACATTCAGCCATATAGTCGGAATGATTCAGACGGATAGCAACAACAATAAAATTGACACCAAAGCAGACGGAGATTCTGGAACAAGTTCACGAGTTTCAGTATCTTGGTCAGAGGATATCTGAGGATGGAAATGCAATGCAAGAAATACGTTTCTGAAAATGATTGTCTCTAGCTTTCCATCAAAACAAAAACGTAAACGTTTAATAAAATACTGTTTTAGCCACCTTTATATACGCTGCAGACACTTAATAAGATATGGAACATAGGATAGAATCCTATGGCTGGAACATAGAGGGTTGGGATATTAGGCCTACATTGAACAGTAGGCATATTGTACGAAGTTAAAGGAAAAATTGTTCTGATGGTTCGTCTTGTTTTAAGAAATACAGACTGGGTGCGCAACGTTGAACTATAGGCCTACTCAATGTGTGGATGGGTGGGTGTGGGTGGGTGTGTGTTCCAATATTCTGTTGGCGATGAATTCCAAGAAGATTGAATGTCTGGACACGAACAATTTCGGAATCTTGGATTATAATGGGTTGGAATAATGTGGGGGATCTTACATCTTACTGTTACCACTGCCAGGGGCGGATTTAGGGGGGGGGGGCGGCCCGGCCCCTTCGGCCCCCTTCCGCCCCCCCCCCCCTTTTGGACATTTCTGGATCCGCCCCTGACTGCAGATTGTTTGCTGTTCAGACGCATTTCATTTTCGGCGGAGCACCATGTGCTCACAGCACACATCTCACTTTTGGAGATTTTCAGATCGTTTTCAGAACTCTTCTGTGTAAAAAATGTGGTGCGTCCATAAATTATATCACAGAGACGGTGGACACCCCTTTAGTGCATCCGTTATTGGAAATGTATTCATCGAACTTTAAATATTTTTAAATATTATTTTGTTTTCCCCCAAGGGCCAAACTAAACTGCCTTCTTCTTATGGCGGCCTGCCTATTTGTTGGATGCTATTGAACCAGAACCAGAGAACCAGAAATATTTTTCCTCTTTCATTTATAGGCCTATGTTCTTTATAATATATCAACTTCAAATTAGAGAAAAGAGATGGAGGAAGGAAGAGAGGGGGAGTAGGCATGGGGCCGAGAAGAAGAATGATACTATTATAACTCCAAAAACCCACAGATTTGGTTTGGTAAAGAAAAATTTGTTATAAATTATTTTTGGTTTCTTGCTGTAGGCCTGTGAGTTTTGTGAGTTATAGGCCTACAGTTCGTTTTTCTTTGCTACTTTTATACAGGATGTCGGAGTGCCTCATGATACCAAGATTTAGGCTTATATTTAGATCAATATTTATTGTAATGTTGTCGCAGTTTTTATTGGAAATTCTGAAGGTGAAAAACGCAGCTTATTGTAAATAGCGGTGGCGCTATTTCAAAACCTAGAAATGAGAGTACGGATTCAGTGTCCACTCCCACCACACCGCCAACACTCGCAGAACAACAACTAAAAAAGAATAACAAAAGGTCGAGTGGTGATGTAATGAAAAGTGATGATTGTTGATGACAGTACGTCAGCTGGGAACCATATTTTTATTGAATCAACAAGCCTGCTATGGTTTGTCTATATTCAAAGACGTATGTAATTGCAACCGCAGATTGTTGATTTATTAATTATTTTGTTGATTAAATTGTCTGTTAATGTCATCTGAATGCTATCCTAGTAGGGCAGGCGTACCTAGTCCTAGGGCCTAGGCTATGTAGGGCTAGCCTAGGCTAGGCCCTAACTAGCTACTGTAGCTGACTAATTAACTAGGAAAGACTGACAGTGTAGCCTACCTACGTAGGTAGAAACCGTATTCTAGTCTGAAGGCCAGGTTTATTAATTAACTGTACTAGGTTGAGTCCTAAATTAGGGTAGCCATGCCATGCACACATGGTGGGCATGACATGAGTGAGTTTTATTATATTAAGCCCTAGGCCTAGCTAGGCTAGGCCTAGGCCTCAGCCATGTAAAATCCGAGGTGTTGGTTGTTGATTGGAGCATGATGGAGATATGCTTCTACTTCTTAACTCAGCATACTCCTTCTGTTGAGATATTTCGCTGATATTTTTGATATTTTTTAAGCTTATTCGCGTGAGTACGGTACTACTACTACTACATATAGAGGCTAGCCTAGTGGTACTAGGCCTAGTGTAGGTACTGTATTTACTGTTAAGTTGTAGCAGGGAGTTTATAGTTAATACCTCCATGATTGACCTACCTACATTTACATAGCCTAGGCCCTGCATTTAATTTAAGTAATTATATAATCTCGGGGTGAATTATAATAATCTTTCCACCCTTTAAGCTAAGTGCATTGTGATTGGCAGACACATAAAATATATTAAGTTTAGAAGGACAGAATTTAATTGCAAATAATTTGCACAAGTCTTTTTCTAAAGTCCAAAAAAATGTATATACTGTATTATTTCATTTCCTTTCATTTTTTTGTCCAGTAAAGAAGCAGTAAAATGCAATCTGAAAAAAATGAGGGTATAGCAGGGCCAACCAAAGTGAACTTATCACTGTAGCTGTGCAAGTGAACCCTTCCCCAAAACAAAAATATTTAAAAAAATGAATGAAGAGAAAATCACAATGACAAAAAATCAAAATAAAGATGAATCTTTCAAAGAAAGAAAAATTTGCTGTCTGAAAAAAAACTGTACCTGTATTATCTTGACTTAGAAATGATAAAAAGGACACGAAATTCAATGATCTACAGGTAATACTAGAAATTTAATTGCCTACTTTAAAAAAAAATATAATTGTTCACATGTATTTTCTTTATTTCTTTTTCAGGGTTTGGTATCTGATGCAGATAAAAGTGATATCAACGAATATTTGCAAAATTTAAAGTAAACTGATACCCCTAAATACATCTAATCCAATGTAGTCATTTTGTTCATTTCTTTAAAAAAAAGTTTAGCTTGAGGGATATATCAATACATTTGCTAGACTCTCAAGATGATACACAGAACATACATAATTAGCACTCATACTTCAGCAGCATTTCAGATTATGAATGACCTGCGAACTTCCAAAGAACTCTGCGATGTTGTTGTTTCTGTTGACAATCAAAATTTCTACGCTCACAAGGTTGTATTAGCCGGCTGCTCTCCGTACCTCCGTGCCATGTTTACGAACGGCATGCTGGAGACAGCCAAGAATGTGGTGAAAATTCAAGGCATTGACCCGGTTGCGATGGAGATTATTTTGGACTTCATGTACACAGCAACAATTGAAGTTAACGTTGAGAACGTGCAGATTGTCCTTGCGGGAGCAAGTATGCTAAATATGAGTAGCTTGCGTAACGTCTGTTCAACCTTTCTCCAATCCCAGTTAGATGCTAGTAACTGTCTTGGTGAGTGAATCAGTTGTAGATCCTCTTGTTTTAACTTGCCTCATGTTTAATTGCAGGAACGTGTAGGTATCCGTGTAATTACTGTAATCTGTATAATATTTTGCTGTTCAAGATCTGATCATTGTGATCATTTTATTATTGGTGTATATGTAGTACATCTGCAAAAATAATAGAGAAGACGAATATTTATATACACAATTTTTATTTCATTCAAAAAAATACTAGATAAGTAAAACAGGTAAACCAGCTGAAATGTTATCCTTTATGCATCTTTAAAAAAAATGTTTTATGTTTTTCCACTAAGGTATTCATTCATTTGCGGATATGTACTCTTGCTCTGAGTTGGAATATGCCTCTCGGAGTTTCATTTACCAACACTTCCTTGAGGTTATTCGAACCGAGGAGTTTTTCATCATGGGCGAGCAAGATGTGTTCAAACTTTTCAAAAGTGACCAGTTACAAGTAGAGCATGAGGAGGATGTGTATGAGGCGGCTGTTTCATGGATAAGTTATGATTTTCACAATCGACAATACAGCTGTTGTAAAGTACTACAAAACATTCGCTTTGCGCTCCTAGACAAACAGTACCTCTTAGAGAATGTCAGTAATTCGGAGCTTATACGGAACTGTCCGAATTGTGGAAAGGCTGTTAGTGATGCCGTCAGGATAAGGAATGATAACCAAGCCTTAGCTATGATAAGTAGCCGATGTCAACCTCATAGTATATATGTAATTGGGGGAAGGAACAGTGTAGATTGTCAATTAAACTCGTGTGAAAAGTATGAAGCTTCAAAAAATAGATGGATTCCTCAGGTGAGTTAACACTTTAATTTTCATTATTATATATTATACTTTCATAATATTTGATTTTTTAGGTACTCGTCAACAAAAATATACAATGTACAACAGTGACAATAAAAATAATTATAAGTCAATCGTGACGTCATTACTGCAACTCCCAATGTTATTTGCTTATTTCCTACAGTACAATAATTTTCACATAGTGTACGCTTGATATTTTTAGGTTTGTGTGCAAAAAATATACCTCTTTTTTTCGTCACCGCGAAGATATCATGCACAGAGGTGAATTCCTTTAGGGCAAGGTTAAATAGAACCCGAAGAAAGTTACTTCAAATTCAATATTAAGTATGAACAATTAACGAATTCCTTGAATCAATGGACCCTAATCAACTAAACAAACTGAATGTTTAATAGGAATGTTCTAGACCTATTTTAAAGACTCAAGGAACAAAATTTAGATGTAGGCCTATGACCAGGCAGAAGGCCGCCGAGGCCTCCTCCAAGGTTTTAGCCTACAGTAGCCTAGTTATGAAATCATCGCATGATTTTACCTGCACCGACCAAAAAGTGACTGAACTGTATTCTCTCAAATGCTTTAAGAAATATTTTCTTTGACAATCAAAATAGCATTACAAACAAATTCTTCTAACACAATATAATAGTTATTCATCGCATCAGTACTGTATTGCTGATGTGCAACGTTACTAACGTATCTCTGTGAGTTAATGTGTATTGCAGATTTAAGCACAAATCAGCATACTGCCAAATGTAAATACGCACACAGATACTGATCATATACCTATAGCAACCGATGATTGCTACAAAAGTTGATTTATCAAAACTAACATTAAAAGATGGCGATTGACTTATAAAGCAATTAGTAGAGCTGCATGCATCGTATACTAGCAGAAAATTATTATACTTAGGTTAGATTTAATGCATTCACAAATTTTTTCAAGCTTTAAATCTAAACTTCGTATAATAATTTTCTTAAAGTGTACTATATGCAGCTCTATTAATTTCTTAATACAAATTTAGAAATAGAAGACAGGTCTGGGAATCGCCTGCTAAGTTCTGTCTCCATACTTTTTGTCCATCCTGTTTTGTAACGTTTGTAGGTTGACTATTAGGGACAGTAGGCATACGTGTTATACATGTCAGAATGCATACATTACATGTGAAATTTAAAGGTAAGTAGGAGAATAGCTCATAATAGCATCATTGTGTTGAATTGCATATGGGCGTGTTTTACATCATTCCACAACGACGGGCTGAAATGAACCATAGCATTAGGGTAGCCCCCCTACCTGAAAAAAGGCTATGGACAACCTATTTTTAAGTCCTTATCCGAGAAGACCAACCCTTGGCAAGGACCAGCTTGAACCAGGGCCAATGTTGAGGCTGTAGTTAGCGACACTCTTACCTTTCGCACGGCAACTCGACTCGCATATTTTACTTGTAATTGGATGAAATGCAAATTTATTTTTGACCTAGATGTTTATATTATAAATTAAACCCACAAAAATGTACCCATGAACCAAATTTCTACAACTGATGACACATCCCACAATAGAAACTCCTGTAACCATTTGAGTGACATGACAGCCACTTTTCTAGATTTCATAAACTGCCACTCTTGGAATAAATTTTAGAGCACATCATGATGTAGTTAGATTTATATAGCGCTTTATCCCAAAACGGTCTCAAAGCGCTCGAGGTGTGGACTAGCTCTTATAGTAACTTGCTTCTCACTGTGCTAGCCGGTAAACTGGTACCAGCTACTCTTGTCTGTCCACAATAGGAGATGTATGGACTAGTACACCGGGGTAACCACCTCCTCATCTGGGTTCTTTTAAGTACGCACAAGCCAAGTTGTGTAGACTGGGCCTTTGGTTTATACTGTAGTCCTTTCCGAGAAGACTTGTTCCATCACCAGAACCATGACATGCGTGCCGTTCGAACCAGCGCCGATATTATGGCTGTAGGTGCGGCGCACCTGCCTTAACTGCTCAGCCATCCAAATTGATGATGTTGATGAAAAAATATTAGAGTAAATTTTCAAAAAAATCTAACATTTTTCTTTTTATTTTTTCTTATATTTTTTTTAGGAAAGCATGGAGATTGCTCGAACAGCAGTGGGTGCTGCAGAACTTGATGGTATGCTGTATGTGGTTGGTGGCGAATGTGCTTTCAATGGCGTACAAGATGACGATACAATGTATTTAGGTTGCGTAGAGTGCTATGACCCTGTGCTAAAACGCTGGACCAGAAAAAAGGAGCTAAATGTACAGAGATCATTTGTGGCGGCAGCTTCCATGGGTGGTTATTTGTACTGCATAGGTATGTACATTTATGCTGAAGAGCAGCTTTAGCAGGGAACCCAAGTTGGTAAAAGTCATTTCCGAGAGATTTACAGTGGCTGATCCAGGAATTTGAAGTGGGAGGCAGGGAGGGACTTTCACAGTTGTAGGGTAGGCCTACCACCTCAGCCCCACCATGGTTGGTACCTATAAATTGCAGGAAGTGACACTCTCCTTTTTGCCCATTTTTTTATAATGTGGAAAAAATTAGGACCTACCTTTGAATTCTCTACCAATCTGCAGTGGTTATGAACAAATTTAATTTTATATATAACTGCACACAGTGATACTCATTGACACTGACTTCCATGAAACAATTGATAATAAAATATTTAAAACATGCAAATATTATGAATTTGCGGGAGATGGATTATTTCCGGGAGATTCTTGCTTGTTTGCGGGAGTGCGGAAAGTCTTCCGGATTTCCCGAAGACTCCCACAATTTCCGGGAGACTTGGGACCCCTGCTTTAGTCAGCTAAACTAGTAGTACTGCATTGTGGCACTAAAGGGTGGAGATTTTTTGTATAACCTTGGCCTCTGTTTAAATTCCATCCACTGTTTACCTTGTGTTTCAGCAGGTTTTTGGTTGAAATTCTAGTTTCAATAGTGCAAAGCTGTTGGTTTCATACACACGATAAAGTATGCATCTTATGTAATGAGTAGGGTATTGTTTCAGGGTGTACAGTAACTGTCCAACTCATTTTTTGAATAGTTTTTTTATACATAGAAATCCATTCAAATTTAATCCATGAGAAATCATATTGTAATGTTAATCTAACCATACCAGCAACTTTTTATATTGTTTATACTGCTTTTGTGTATTGTTTTCATTTGAATTCGAACAATTAAGATTTACTGTATATTGCAATTATAATTCTTGTTGTTGAATAGCAATTAATATTTAATTATTAAACCTTGAATTTAATAAACATGCCAAAACTAAATTATTTCAACTATCACACTTAATTACCATTAATATAATAATAATAGTGTAGTTTTATATAGCACACATATCCATCTATTGTAAGATGCTTGATATGTGGACTAGGAACTCGATCAATGACTTTCTTCGCCACTAAGGGTCCCTTCGTGTCTGTGCTACCCGGTAACCTGGTACCAGTAACTCTCGTCGTCCACCACAGGGGCTGTCTGTTCCAGTACACAGGGGTATTCCCCCTACGCGTCTCGAAAGATGTACTGGGTTCTTTATAGTGCACACGAGCCATTGTATACACCGGGCCTACGGTAAAGTCCTTATCCGAGAAGATTTGTTCTACCACCAAAACCATAGGTGAGCGTGCCGTTCAAACCAGCGCTGATATTATGGCTACAGCTTGCGGCGCCCCTGCTAACCGCTCGGCCATCCGAATCGCCTTCAGGGGTCTTAAACTTTTAGTTAATTATATAATAATGTAGTTAATTTATAAATTATGAAATTATTTCTTTGGAAAGTGATGTGAATATTAGTGCCTGAAGTTTACTGGATCCAGAGATTTGGAATTATTTTCATTCAGTTTCTTAACCTTCTGGTTTACACAGTTATGTTTCAGTCGTAGGTGGGAGTATTTCATGGCATAAATGTGGCTGCTTCTCATATGGTAACATCTACTATACCTAGATAAAAAACATGCTTTGGTGATGCAGTAAATGCAGTTTGCTGTACATAATAATAAAATAATACCCAAATCCCCTGACTTCAATTTTACTGGATTTGATAATGAATTAATTATTTTCCCAAGTTCTCTACACTAAGTGTATCAATATGGATTCATTTTAAGTGTCATATTCAATATGAATGAATTAGTAAATAATTAATTTTAATGAATTATTATTTAACAATGAAACTAATAACCTATTCAAAATGTCAAGATGATATAGCTGTACTAATTAATATTTAGAATTAATCATCTTCCAATCATGGTTTATTTATATTCTTTTAAAGCCAACATTTCACTAAAAAAAAAAAAAAAATAATGCATATGCATAATTACTTTCATTATTATAAACCATAAAAAAATATTGGCATGTGTGCTGAACCATGGATGTGTGTGCGCTGAACCGTGGATGTGTGTGCGCTGAACCGTGGAGATCTCTAGGTCCCCGGTTCAATTCCCATCGCTGCTTCTCCTTGTGTTTCAGCTAGAGGGCTGAAATACAAGTTGCAATAGTGTATCGTCTTTCGGATGAGACGTTTAAGCTGTTGGTCCTGTGTGCATTTATGGCCCATGTGCACGTTAAAGAACGCAGTACACTCTTCGTAAAAAGGTAGGGGATTGTCTCCCAGTGTACTGTTCAATCACCACCAGAAGGACCTCACTGGAAATAAGTCTTCTTCTAGACTTTCGTGGCTATCCTTGGTGTTTACACCAAATAAATCCAATCCAATCCAAAAAATAAAAAAAAAAAAGAATAGAAATAGAGACTATTTCTCATAGAAGGTTACCATTTTCTCGACGAATTCTTCGTTACTAGGCAAATTCAGAGGTTGTAGATGGCATTTGCTGAAATCATCTCACCTTTGTGTATACTCTATACAGTCAATAAAGTGCGCCCTCTCTAATGAAACTAGTTTTTGTACTTCGCATCTTGCACACTTTGGTCAATCGAGTAGGCCTGAGATATGTTTGTTTGTCAAAATCTCGGTCAGAATCCTTTGTTTTAACAAATTTGAAATAATTCCAATGAAGTATTATATTTCACAAGTGTCAATACTAGCAATGGAAAATATCATGTGGGCCATTTTCATGTCTGATAACAGAACCTAAATGGAGGTAAGGCTAGGACTAGCCTAGCAGTGTTGATAGGTTAATGTTTTCGGCGCCTACTATATTTCTTTGCAGACCTATCGCAAAATCAAACATAAAAAATTCATCTGCTTTTTTTTGTGTGTGTGGAACACAATTTCAGTCTATTTTACATTTTTTCATGTTTGAGAACGTCTAAGTTATAAAAAATGTATAAAAATCAGATCTTTCTTAACAACCAAAATTTTGCCGGGCATAGGGCTTTAAAGTATTTGGAGTTTTACTATTTAATAAAATTTATATCTTAAATAATTCTGCGATTCCAGTATCACTATGAGCTTCCGTAGATGTAATTGATTAGAGTTGTTTTAATAGGGCGGTCACAGGAATTGAACCCATGACCCAGTGATTGGAAGGCATGCACCTTAACCACCAAGCCATTCAACCCCACTTCAATTTGTTTTTTTCATTTAGATTTTTAATTGTAAGGTAATGTAACTTATTATACAAGTTAAGCAATTCCACATGAAACTGAATTTTTTATATTTTTTTAGCTTAAATCTCTACTGAAAGATTGATAAAATAATTTGCATTTTATTTCTCCAACTGACACACAATGAGGCCAGTGATGGAAATGAACCAGAGATCCAGTGATTTCCATGGTTTGGTGCACACACACAGTGACTACATTATACTGTACCACCAGTTTACCTTAATATTCTATGATAGAGCATTTTTAGAAATACTGTAGCGGTCTCCCTATAATTATAGATGTCTTCAATTATAGGATTAAATTAAATGAACCTAAATGTACACATAGGCCTACTGATAATAGCTTGATTAAGATCTGGGTTGGATTGCCTTATCTAGGAAAGGCAGGTGAATCCATTTTACGTAGATGCTTAAACAAAGTAAAGAAACATTTTGTTAAAGAGGTAAAATTCATAACTTTATGGCTGTACAAAAATGTCTCTCATTTTATATCTACTAAAGATGAAACCCCTAAGGAATATAGGAGCTCTGTTGTTTATCATTTTAAATGTCCAGGTTGTAATAGTGATTATGTTGGTAAGACAGATAGATGCTTAATAACTAGACTCAAAGAACATTCTTCACGATCTGATAGTGTTATAAATGATCATATACAAAATTGTGAGGCATTCCAATATGTTTTAGGTTTACAAGGTATACTTGAAAAGGATAATGTAGCCTGTAATGTAAGCAATAAATTAGGTTTAATATTTTCTAATACTCAAACATTATTGACAGTTCGCAAAACTGCTCATTGTATAAAGAAGTGTTTGCTATACATAGGCTACACTTAACAATATGCTGAAAGCTTCAAAGGAGCTTTCTTTTTTTTTGTAGGTAGCTTTGATTAGTAAAGGTAGGAATTAGTTTATTCATAGCTGTGTCACCTACTAGGGGTAATGTTTTTATCGGTCAAACACTTTTGGTACTTGTGCATATAACCTTGCAAATACGGATAATTTTTCATTCCTGACGATGACATAACTAATGTCGAAATATTGAATCCCGACACGATAGCGTGCATTTCGATACTTGGAATATATATTATACTATCTTATCTGAGATTAATCAGTGGACCTTTTGGTTTTTTAATGTTGCTCTTTTGGCGTTCCATATAAAAAACACAAAAACGACTGAAGCATGCCTATGGAATGCAGAAATGTGTAAACACCATTTTGGTCAATTAAAGACGTGGCAGGGAAATTAATTATTTTCCCCACAATTAATCTGAAATATGGATTGATGTCACTTCGCGCCATCGGGAATTTGATGATCTATGTTGTTACATTTTTTCATACCAGTAGGTTTTGAATCTGAGATGTTTATTTAGGCCTTGGTTGTCTGTTATGATTTCAGGCTTTGATATAAGCATAATTATAATGTAGAAGCTGCTACAGACCTTGGGGACACTGGTCTCAAATGCCGTTTGTAATTGGAGGTAGACCTGTATATATTAATGTTCCTTGTCAAATGTCTCACTTTTCTCAGTTGCAATTCCTTCACAAGACAAATATAAACACATGATGCTCTCCATTCACGTAGATTATGTCTCATTATTAGGCTCAGTGAGGGAAGTTGAACTCAGGACCCAGGGATTGGTAAGCAAGCATCTTTAACCTCCAAGCTATTCCACGTACAAGTTCTTCTACTCCACTCTTTTTCTAATGCATAGAACATCATTGGTTTATTATGTTTTGTGTGCATTTGTTCATCAGGTGGTGAAAATGCATCAAACAGCTTTAATGTGGTGGAGCGTTATGACCCTAAGATAAATCGATGGTGCTTCCTGCAAAGTATGAAGAGGAAGAGAGCAGGCTGCGGTGTTGTCGTTTGTGATGGAAAACTGTATGTAGCAGGTATGTCTCTATGTTTTGCAACATTTTTTGTTTTTATAGTTAAAGGAAATTTTAAAAGAGGATATTTTAGTTTATTCTTTGGCTGCTATACACAAGATTTGGTCCTTCCATTATTGAAAATAGAGAAGGTGGTTGGGGTGGGGAGGTATTCCCTTGGGTTGTTTCACTGGTCCAGGGAATTGCCCTGGGTAATTGTGCCTATGGAATTGTCCATCAGGTACTTGCATTGGTAGACTTTCTTGTGCACAGGGTACATTATTCAGAAATGATAATCCTTATACACTTAATAGTTTCTCTTGTCTCAGTATTTATAATTTGCTGACTTTATTAGGTGGCTATGACAAAAACTACCACATAGACCGTGCCAGCATGGAGTGCTTTGATCCTGAGCTTCAGGAATGGGTGTTTGTAGCGGAGATGGAGAAAGCACGTTCTGGCGTGGCCTTAGTTGCAATGGACCACTACATCTATGCTCTAGGCGGCAGGCTTAGGCATACAGACCAATATTTTGACATTGCAGAACGGTAAGAATCAGTATATAAGTTTTACGTATTTAAATTCAGAATCCGGAGGAAAACAAATTTTTGATATGTTGTTTGGCAAAAAACTTGGGAACGGTGAATGAGATACAGATTTTTGAATATTTAAGAACTTTGAAAAAAGGGGCGTAACTGCCCATTTTTACACCTTTTTTCCCCAGTTGAGCCAAGTCAACATAACTAGCATAAAAAGGGTGACATTTTAAAAGCCAGAGATCTGCCTGAGACACTTATCACCGCTAGTCGGAGGGTGTATAATATTATACATGATTTTTTTTTTCTTATGATTGAAGAACGTCTCTACTCCCATTTATTTAAGAGGGCCCTTGAATGTCAGCTTACTTTCTAGGATAAGCTGAAAAGTTGAATCTGTATGAGGCATGCCATCCAAAAACCAGCATCACTCACCAAAAAATGAAAATTTAATTTTTAATATATTCATATTCTCCAAATTATAAGCTTAAAAATGATGGGTCATTTACTGGAATACACTTACTATTGCCAAAGTTATGAGTAAAGGGTTTCTTTGTGCTAAAGTATTCAATACTGCTGCCTTCTTTATGCTAATACTCAATTGAAAAAACAGATTGCTTTTGAAATTCTGCATTATACAGTTATTTGATCTACTTGCTATACAATAGCAATAATTTGAAGAGAATTATTTGTTTAGAGCGCTAAATATATTCCAACATATCTGTACTAATATATTATTATTACATAAACACGAACATTTTAGGTTTTAACTTATTTCTTTGATTACATCATATAATAGGTACAATACACAGACACACCAATGGTCCTCAATCCAACCAATGCAAGTTGCCAGGGCTTGGCCCGCTGTGGTAGTGTTTGATAACCAAATCTATGTTTTTGGAGGTTTTGACGGTACGAACCGGCTACGCAGCGTTGAGAAGTACAACCCGCACACAGACACATGGACGTTTGTGGCCAACATGAGCGCTTGTCGAGCAGGATGCGGAGCAGCTGTTGTATAACCCTTAGCAAATTGGAAGCTGATATTATTGATTATTCAAATTATGGATATTTGCTGGTCATCACATGTAGGATTCACTATATTTCATTTGAATTTAAAAACCACAACTGCACATTTATTAATAACATACATTTAAAAAATCATCCAGTAGATATAATATTTATCCTGGTCAAGTACAAATCATTAAAACGTTCCCAAAAAATTAGGATGATTAGTTTTCTTAACACTTTCAAATCACATGTGAAAAAAAAAGGGTTAAAATAATATAATTATAAGCAGTTTTTCTTTAGAGGAAGGGCCTGTTGTTGTAGGCAATTTTATTAGAGTGATCTGCTATATGATGCGATTTGTCCATTTATTGTCTGTATGCAACTTCATTCGATTGATTACATGTTTTTGTTTAATCTTCTTCATCTGAAATATTTCTTATCATTTTTATTCTTATCAATTTAATATCATTTTTTGAGTAATAATGTTGCCTAGGAGGTGAGGACTTTACAAAAGTATTGTACAAAATGTTAGGTTTTGTTTTTATTCACTCCACTGTAGATCTGTTTTAATTGTGAGATAAAGGGTTAAACCCACAATTGAATATGCTAGGTGCTTAGGTAATAGCATACAGAGCCATACCCACATGTTTTGGTTATTTATTTTAGCATGGTTAGCTTGGTTGACCAACTACAATAGATTTTGTTTTTGGGTTTTCTGTAAATGCATAGAGACCATGTATTTTATGCGCTATATAAAAAGTCCCCAACCATTACCATACCATTACATCCAAGACACGTGGTAAAGACACACAACACAAATACTACGAAAAATAATACATACCTCTATCGATGCACTAAATACAGAACGCATATCCCGACCTATGTGACTCATACCCATACCAACATACTGTACACTAACAAAACACAACACATACTCAAATACACTAATAAGGCCGGAAAAAAAAAAAATTTTGTTGGCCAAGTTTTGAGAAAATAAAAAAAATGGGTAGGTCAGTAGGAAAACTTTTTTTTTTTAACAACTAAATATGTGTTTATGCCTAAAAAGTAGAAAATACACAAATAATACAAAAATTCATATTTGCTCATAAAAAAAATATTGTTTGTTGTAAAAAAAAAAACAACCTAAAATGTTGACCCTTAATTTCGTTAAATTTCGGTCGGGCGTGGCCAACGCAATAATTTTTTTTTTTTTGGCCTAATTATACGAAAAAAAACACTTCCATACATTTATATAATTTTAGATAAATATTAGTCATTATTATTTTGCTGCAAATTTATTTACTTATGTAAGGTATTTGTTTCAAATTAATGTTAGTTCACCAAGTGGTACTGTACATAAACCTCAAAGAACATATAGAACAAGAACATGCACTTCATACAAATTTGTGAAATGTTTGAAATGAATGAACTCAGTGGAACATTGAAAATCCAAAATGGATTGTAATGGATTGGATTAGATAACCCTTGGAAGTCCGAATACTTATTTTCCGGTGGAGTATTTCTGTTTGCTATTGGGAAGTACACTTGTACTGGTATGGACATTTATAATGTGCCTTTTCCTTGCGGCTGTAAAGCGCACACTAAGTCTCAGTTGTTCAGGGAAAAACTCGGGCAGCATGTACTACAGCAAAAACACGACAATCTTCTACTCTCTTCCAAGGAATGTACTGCAATCTTTAATATCCACATGGGCCATATTGTACACAGGACCAATGTCTTAAATGTCTCATCCGAAGATGTTGTACTTTTTTTTTATACTTGCATTTCAGCCCTCCATTTGAAACACAATAAAGTGGATTGAATTGGTCCTCCAAACAATAGACCTCCACAGATCAGCGCAACACAGTGGCTACCACCTAGCCAAATGAGTTTATGCTGCTCTATGAAACAGATAACATACACATACATGCTCTAGTATCTTGCCAGATATATCAACAATCAACACATACCTAAAAAGTAATAATCCTTTCTAGACTTTTGAGGGCGCTGTTACTTTTTAAAATATTTTCACATGCAAATTATTGGAAATGTATTCTTTTTATATATGTTCTTTGATCGTATGTACAGTATGAATACATAAAATGTTAGTAAATCTTCAGAGTGTTAAAAATATTATTTGTTATTTTTTTGTTTAAAACTAATGGTGTATGACAAATGTAATACTCAATTTCAGCTTTGCCAATGAAGAGAGTCATTTATGATGCATTGATTATATATATCTACTGTTGACTATAAATTATAAATAAAGTGTTCTTTATTCGGGTGTATTGGTTCACGAATATAGATTTTTAAATAAACAATTACCTCAAATTTATTGTTGGATATAATCCTGCCTGAATTAATAATTAAGGTATAAAAATACTGTTATGTTCATCATATAAATATAAATATATAAATATAAATATAT